CAGAGGCTATGATAACACTGTGTGCCTACTCTCTAGTGTCAGGCTCTGCCCAATTCCTCTATAAATCACTGTCTGTCAGAGAAGAGTGGAATCAATGTGACTTGTCAGGTGGAGTTTCCATAGAAATAAAGTTATGACACCAGCTCAGATCTCTGATGGTGCTATGATACCTTTGTTGTTGTTGTTGTTTTAATAATTAAGCTTTACATTTAAAACATTTATTTACAACGAATGAGTGTGTGTGTGTGTGTGTGTGTGTGTGTTTGCATGACCCACAGAACATGTGTGGAGGTAAGAGGACAAATTACAGGAGTTAGTTCTCTCCTTTCATCATGAGAGTCCAAGGGATCAAACTCAGGAAGTCAGGCTTGGCAGCAAATGCCTTCACCCACCAAACCAAGCCATCTTACTGGCCTAGCTGTTGTTTTAAATAAGCATACACATTATACTTAATCACCGGTGTTATACAATGCCTTCTGAAGTGTATATAAATCTGTCACTTAGGCCAGTCCCACTAGCTCAGAAGGACTGTGAACAGTTCCTCCTTTACTGTCTTGTCACACTTCTGTCTGTAGTGAGAACCACAAATCAGAAGTCAAAAGGTATCTTCATGAGTAGAATTTGGGAAACTCCCTGGGATAAGTACATTGTCTCCGATGGTCATGTTTACTCAACTCTGATGAGAAGCTGATATCTGATAACCACTTTCTCCTAAAAGCAAGCTCTCTTTTTCTCTCATTAGAAAAACAACAACAACAAAAAAAAGGAAGCCACATAGCAACAATTAGAAAATATAGCCAACTAAAGGAAGAGGGAAGGGGAGCAACAGAGGGTAATGGAATATGGGAGAGGAAATATATGCCATATTTGCAGGGGAAGGAAAGGATCAGCAAAAGGAGGAGTGGGTGGGGAGTAGGGCACTGGAGAGATGAATAAGAATAAAATCTAGGGCTGGAGAGATGGCTCAGTGATTAAGAGAAGTGACTGTTTTTCTAGAGGTCCTGAGTTCAATTCCCGGCAACCACATGGTGGCTCACAACCACCTTGAATGAGATCTAGTGCCTTCTGTTGGCATGCAGGCAGACAGCTGTATACATAATAAATAAATAAATAAATAAAATCTTAAAAAAAGAATAAAATCTAGTAATAAGATAGATGGAAATGTCAGAGTGAAATCATTCCTTTGTATGTTAACCAAAAGTACTGATAAATTCTGGGGTTGGAGATGTGGCTTAGTTGGTAGAGCATTTGCCTAACATTCCTGAAGCCCCAAGTTCAACTCCTGGCCCTTCATAAACCAGGTGTCCTTGTGTAGATCTGTAATCCCAGCACCTGGGAGAAAGAGGCAGAAGACTCAGAAGTTTAAGATCATTCTTACTCTATAGCAAATACTGTATAGCATAGGCCAGTATGGGTTACATGAGACCCTGAATTAATGAAGGAGGGAGAATGGGAGAGGAAGGGGAGGAGGGAGGGAGGGGAATGAGATAAACCAACAGAATTAATGAAAATCAGGTAATTGAGTCAGGGGAGGGCTATAAAGGTAAAATGAGGGGTATGTAAATTATTTTGAAATAATAAGCCTTGCCTACAAGGGTTCACAACAGGGGTATCTGGGACTGGACAGAGACGGTTGCTAGGCTGATATCCTTCCTGAATTATTTGTGAATGTGTAAGGTTGGGTAGAGTTAGCTACTTTGTATCATTGTGACCAAAAGTCACAGTTTAGGGAAGGAAGGTTCATTTGGCTCAAAGCTTCAAAGGTTTGAGTCTGCCATGGTGGGGAGCAGGTGGTAGAGCAGAGCTGCTCACATCGTAGAGCCAGAAAGCAGAGAGAATAACGCTCTCCCAAGTGCCTCTACCAAGAGCATTTTTCCCTCCTATTCCATCTTGGCTCCCAGCCTATGGGGGGAGGGGTTGGATGAAGGGTGTCTTTCTCCCCTTGTTAATCCTCTCTGGAAACCCTCTCCCAGATACATCCAGAGATGTTACTATTTCCTAATCTCCTTTGATCTTCTCAGGCAGATCAAGTAGACAGCCAAGATTACCCAGAGTAGTCGTGGCTCTTGTAGAATCTTTATGATCGGGATCCCTTTCTTCAAAATCTTCGGTCTCGACTTATTTACTCATTCCTTTATTTATATTAGGATCGATACACACAGTTCCATATGGTTCTCATAACTACCAGGCAGGTGTGTGGCCTCAGGACCTGTGTTTTGGCCACTCATGTAGGGAGAATACCTTACTCTATCATACGCATTTTCTTATAAAATCTTATAAAGCCAGGAGGGATTGGCCCCTGCGCAGAAGGAGGCTTTCTGGTAGAGATCTTAGGAACTTTAAGAAATAGTTCTGAAGTCATGTTTTCCTACTCTTTGATACTTTTTTTCTTTCACAAATATAAGGATTAGAGACCAAATCCCATTTAGGGCTGGAGCTCTTTTTCCTGACTGGGGTTTCAGCACACTTGTCCACACCTGTGGTCGTCAGTGTGCTAAATGAGGGTGGCATAGTGTGGAGAGATATGACTACAAATTGGAGGCCGCATAGATTGTTCCAGGAGCAGAGGTAACACAGCTGCCAGTACTCAGGATTATCAGTAGACATAGGTCTTTATTCACTCACTAAAGTGAGGAGCAATTGAACAAGCCCTCTCTCATTAGCTGGGGATGGTGAGAGTAGGAGCAAGTTTAGAATATCCAGCCCATTTATAACAAAGCTGGAAAGGGAAGCAACATCCTCACCTCCGCTTTCAATGAATGGATATTGCCAAAACCTCTTATTTTGTTGTTTTGAGACAGGGTCTCACAATGTAGGCAAGGATGACAGTTGTCACACTTCATCCTTGTAAAGGCTGAGATGACAGGCACATAGTGCCACATCTGGCATGGCTAAAACATTCTACCTTACTTTTCTGCCCTGGAAAGTTTTATTGATAGCTCTCTTGATGTTTCTTTACCTCTATACTTTTTGGAGCAATTTGTTGTCAGGGAAAACAACCGGTAGTGTTTTAGGCTGTTGTTTTTGAAGGACGTTTCTAGTTTTAGTGTCCTCTTCTGTGAAACAGGAAAACTAATAATGTGCATTTCAATAAGGTTGTTGTAAGTACAACAATATTCCTACGTGTTATTACAAGGTAGGAAGCAGTTCTTGATGCATGGTAAATGTTCAATAAATATGAAATGCTTCTGTTTCCTGCTAATACTGGGTATGAAACTGTTTGACAACATTTGAGTTTGCTCAATTATGATTCACATTGGCAAATGTTAAAATTATTTGTTTTTCCCTTGTGTATTTAGTATTCAATAATTATTGCTGAAATTGGGGGCTGGAGAGATGGCTCAGAGGTTAAGAGCACTGGCTGCTCATCCAGAGGTCCTGAGTTCAATTCCCAGCAACCACAAGGTGGCTCACAACTATCTGTAATGAGATCTGATACCCTCTTCTGGCATGTAGGCATACATGCAGACAGAGCACTGATACTTTAAAAAAATACATAAATAAATAATTTCTGAAATTAATGAACAAATGCCTGTGGTTTTGATATAATATCAAAAATTATTGATATGACCTTTTACATTGTATATGCTCTTAAATATGTGTTCTGATGTTTGGGGTAACTTGTTTTCTAAATATCTTTGTTCTTATGGTCAAGTAGGCACAAGAAGTTCAGGTGTGGGAAAATACATTTATATTCATACTCCATTTCTACTGATATATTAACTTAATAGAAAGAATTGTTACAGTAATAGATTTCTTAATGTTCAGTACGCCCCTCACACCTCGGCTTTGTAGTTAGTATCAAACTTCTGAGTTCAACACAGTACAGCCATAAGCCTCCATGCCTTTCAAGCATTCCAGCTGTTTGCCTTGGGGCTCTGTCCTATTCCCAGGGAGGAATAGGGCCCCAAAATCTGGGAACCCTACATTTTCTTGAAGAGAGATGGTCTATTCTTTGAGGCAGACTGACACAGTAGGTTTGTGTGTGTGTGTGTGTGTGTGTTTGTGTTGTTTATTGTTATTGTTTTGGAGTTTCATGTTTCTGCTTTTTAAAGATTTGTTAATCTTTATTTTATGTACATGTGAGTGTTTGGCCTTCGTGTATGTCTGTGCACCCAGTGCATGCCTGATGTTTGTGGAGGCCAGAAGAGGGCATCGAATACCCCAGAATGGAGTTAATGATAATTGTGAGTTGCCATGTGGGTGCTAGGAACTGAACCCTGATCCTCTGCAAGAGTGGCAAGTTCTCTTAATCATGGAGTCATCTCTTCAGTCTCCATTCTCTCTCTCTCTCTCTCTCTCTCTCTCTCTCTCTCTCTCTGTGTGTGTGTGTGTGTGTGTGTATGTGTGTGTATGTATGTATGTACGTGTATTACTTGAGACAGGGTCTCATGTTGCATGCGCTTGACTCAAACTGCTTGCTTCTTGCCATCTTCTTGCCTTGGTCAGAATATCTGGACTATATGTGTGTACCTGACTTTAACACATTTAGGCAATTGAACACCGGCAAGAAAACAATACCTTAGCCCAGTCCCTGTTGCTTCAGCAAAGTGTCACTGCACTGGACCCTCAATCCTGTCTCCAAACGCTTGTGTGTGGCATGTTACTTCCAGTCTATGTGGACTTTCTGAGGTCAAGTTTCTCACCTTTAAAGAGCAAAGCTTCTAAGAGAAGGCTCAAACACCCTTGGCATGCCAGCCTGGAGAAGTGGAAAGACCAGTCCTGGGAAATGTCTCCAGCTCTTACCTCCCTATGACCCTGAGGTTCAGGTGCCTTCCTGGAGAAGGAAAATTATAATTAGGTAACCCTACCCACCTGGGGCATTATAAGAGGCAATGCCATGGGCAGAAGAGGAGTGGATTCCAGGGCTCACTGTCACAGCAGCGGTGTAACACACAGAGTACCAGTGTACCACAGCCCCAAACTAGGACTGGGTTAAAGGATAAGGAAGAAGCCAGCATTTAGGTGATATTGTTTTTTTTTTTTTCTTTTGAAAACAGGAAATTCCGATTTGTACATTGGATTGGCCCAACCGCATAGGAGAAATCTCATGGGATGTGTTTTTTGTGACTTTGAACTTCCTGGTGCCAGGACTGGTTATTGTGATCAGTTACTCCAAAATTTTACAGGTATGTTTGTTTCTTTGCTGTTCTGAATTTCACTCCCTCTGGGCATTCCCAGTAGAATCTTAGAACTTCAGAGTCAGAGGTATCTTGGAGGTTCTAACAGTCCAATCCTGATTTGCTGGGCAGATTCTCTGCTACCCCCTGGAACAGTGAGGGACAAGAGTTTGTATATTTATTTTGGTTTTTATTTTCTAAATCAGTTATGTTCTTGTACATCTTTTCATCATTAAAATACTACTGGTTTATAAAAACATTCAGTTGAAAACAGGCGCAGAACTGTGTAACACAGAAGTTGAAAATCTATTCTCTTCTTAACTTAATGACCCTACTGTGTCTCTGAAGTGTAGGTTCAAATGGTCAGATGGCTATTGGCACTGTTCACTGTTCTTTTCAGATGGGAGATGCTACTGCTTGATAACGTCCTTTCCCCCCCCCCCCACTCAACACTGTATCAGGACATCGGTCTATATCAGTTCCTGTATCTTATCTTGTTGTTGGTTAAGAGTTACACAGCCTTCGTCATATAGGCATGATATAATCATTTGGTGGACTTTGGAGTTGTGTCCACTGTTTTCCTACAAACACAGCAGTGATCGACAAGGTCTACTTTGTAAGATTTTGTTTTATTGGAAGTATCATATACTAATATAAAATCACACCCAGCTTACGTATTCTGCTCACAAATTGAACACTCTCATAAAGTGGCTCCTGATGGAGAATAGAACTTGGCCCTTCCTGTCCCCGTGGGTCAGTGATCTTATCCTTGGGAATGTCTACTTCAAGTGTGTATGGCACAGGAAATAAATGATGTCTCCTAGAAAAGTAAATGTATGTACATAGACATATAAAACATGGGCCAGCCTCTGCTTCCTGGCTCTAAAGAGATCATACTTGCATGGAAGATGCCACCCAATAAACACAAGCATGTATATTAATGCCCACTTGTAAGGTTTATCTCAAAGCTTTTGAGCCCCCTTGGAGGTGTACAGTGGTTAAATCTTGGTTTTATAGCATCTTTTGTGAGGGTCCTGATAAATAGGTGTGTTGAAAAGGCCCTGATCTCCTTCTGGCCACTTTTATGACTCTTTATGGCTGTGGATTTGTAGCCTTTTTACAAACAGAACCCACCCCAGGCCAACCTCACCTAAGGTTGCCTGTCTCTGTGTCTGTGGGAGATGGTGCTTAACTCTCTGGTCAGACTCATCCCACCAGATGACTCTCCAAAGCTTAGGCTTATTCTAATACGTAAGGCAAATTCCAGGGTGGGGAGCCCTGAAAAGCACTTGCAATGGATGACTTGCCATATTTTAATGTTATAAAAGAATTAATTTGTATCATAAAATCACAATAAAAGAAAAGAAAGAGGACAGACTAAAATAGAATACATTTAAAAAAAAAAACACATTTATTTATCATGTATACAGTGCAGGCCAGAGGAGGGCACCAGATCCCATTACAGATGGTTGTGAGCCACCATGTGGTTGCTGGGAATTGAACTCAGGACCTCTGGAAAAAACAGTCAATGCTCTTAACCCCTGAGCCATCTCTCCAGCCCTATAGAACACATTTTTAAATGTTTGTATTGTTTTGGTTTTGTTGAAGCAGGGTCTTACTCTATAGTTCTGGCAAGCTTGTAATTCCCTAAGTGGACTAGACTGGCCTGGAACTTGCATTGATCCTTCTGTCTTTACCTCCCAAGAAACTAGCTGAAGATCAGAGAAGCAAAGCAGTTAGCCACTAGCTCTTACCTCTACCTCAGGCTGAAAGGGCTGTCTTCTCCTCAGTGTGGCTGGAGAATAATTGCCTATTACTGACTTTGCTTCTTCTTTTTATACCTCTCTAGTGCTGGGATTAAATGCATGTGATCCCAAGTGCTGAGATCACCTTTGTGTGAGCTGTTTCTCTTTAGGACTGGATCAATTTTGCATAGCTCAGTATGGCCTTGAACTAACAGAGATCCATCTTCCTGCCTTCTGAGTCCTGGGATTATAAGGTGCATGCTACCACTGCCTGGCTCTATGGCTAGCTATATGGCTTCTGGGATTAAAGGTGTGTATCAACACTGCCTGGCTCTGTGGCTTGTGCCTAGCTTTGCTTTCTGTACCCCCAGGCAAACTTTAATAAATAATAAGCAATATATCACCACAGTAGGGTTTAACATATAGCAAGCATTAACTCATCTTACCCTAACAAGACTTTCAGATGAGGCAATTCAGAGATGTTGTGCAATTTATACAAGGTCACGGGGCTTAGAGGTATCAGCTTCAGTATTTAAACCCAAGCAGACCAGCCCCGGAGTCCCGTCCAACAGAGGTTTGTTAAGAGTACTATGTTCAGAATGTTGGCAGGGAGTGGTGTGGTTCAGGAGTGTGCAAGCTATAATCTGCCTAGAAGGACCTTTGATAAAGAGGCAGCTGGGCAGTGATGCTGAGATCTAAAGCAACGAACGCCACAGCACAAGGGAAAGTGAAATGCCAAGCTAAAGCTGGGAAGTGTGTCAGAGGATGGACAGGGCCTCAGAGTTGGCATCTCCTCCCCAAGAAGGTGCACAGCCCAGGCACACTAAACTGGCCCTCCTGCCCAAGCCCTTTCTGCCAGGAGCATGGCTGTAGACTCCACTGAACATCAATATTCAATTAGCCACATTCACTGGATGCAGCTCTATCCCCCCACCCTTCCCCACCAGTCTCTCCTCTCCATCTCTGCCGCCTCTAACTTGGGCTCCATCTCTGGGCTTGAAAGGTACTCTTTCTCATATTACCGCATTCCTTAACTGCAGAGCGGCATCTTCCAGGCTGTTCTCCAGAGCCCTGTGGGATGATAGGTATAGAAAGAGTCGTGCAAACAAAACTAAGACATTGCATGGAATTCTCTGCCGTGGGACTTGAGAGCCTTTTTGTGCTAATACACTTTGGACATCCCCAGCACAGGAATTAACCAGGTGGTAGTGCTAAATCTGATCACAGAACCTGTTTCTGCATACAGAGCATCTCTCCCAATGGGAGTTCATCCTGTTCTAACCTTTCCTTCTTCTGAGCTGGGCTATGGCTCAGAGTGGGCATCTAACTGCCTCTTCCCCTGCTAATAGTCCTGCAGGAATTGTTTGGTGTGCTGGGCGGGGACTGTTTTGCCCTCTGCCCTCTCTGCTTCCTCTTTCCTTGTGACTCAGTCATGCCATACATTTTCAGTGTTACTGTTCCTATTGACAGTTTTCCGAAGGGACTAGCTTCTCAGTAATTCCTCAGTGCCTTGGATCAGGCTGTCAAGGCTGACAGCTTTCAAGGTTTACAAGTTCATCCAGCAACCATAAGGATGATAGGCTGTGATGTCTCTGCCACTGTAATTGTGTTTCTTGTTCTCCCTCCCACTGGCCACATATATAGGGTGTGGGAGTGTAGTAGCAAGGGCAGGACTCCCTTGCTTCTTACTCTTGGGTCCGGCCTCTTTAAGAGAGCTTAGCATATAACAGGGTCTTGGCAAATATGTGTTTGGTAAATATTTGTTTAATGAAACAGTGGTTCTATGGCCTGCAGATGGAAATCCCTCTGCCCATTGTAGAGTTTAGCTGAGAAACAAAAAGTCTACTTCAACAGAACACAAAGCCTGGCCCTCACTGTCTACCACTGGGGGCTGTAGTCATGTTATACGCTTAGATTTGGGTCCTGAGTTCTGAAGGTACCTGCTGAAGTTTCCAGGTTGCATCAGGGACACATAATTAATAATAGAAATAGGAATCGATTATTAAGAGAAAGTCATTCCGGAGAATGGAAGTGACCCAATGTAATGGGCCGTGGGGTCGGGGTCGGGGAAGAAGGCTTCCACTTTAAAAGAAAGAAAGAAAGAAACAAACAAACAAACAAACTGAGCTGGCTCTAGTGTGACAGCCCTTTGTGGGTAATTTACATAGCACTTGCTGTTCCTTCGGTTGCATATATATATGGCATGCAGGCCTTTTCTTGAACATGAGTTGTTGTTGCATTGGGGTTGATAGGCATTTCCAGTCCTCTGCCATCTGGCTTCTTTAACATGTTACTCTTGATGCTACTCTCCCCAGTCCTTGCTCTCCTCCTCTAGTCGTGTTTCTTTGCAGGTAGACCTCTAGGAAGGTGGGCCTCCTGTCTGATGGCCCTAATCAGGACACTCCTGACTAGCTAGTGATCTCCACAAAGGAGGCCAAACCCCCAAGGCCCCAGCTTCTGTTAGTGGGAATCCCCTTCCTGCCAGCCTCCAGCTGGTGTGGCCTGGCATGGGTGTTGGGTGGAAATAGGGTTCCCTCCCGGCCTTCAGAGGCTCATGTGGCTCCAGTGAGTCATGAAAGGGCTGTTTTAAAAATGGCCTTTATTAAAGGTCTTTATTAAAGAGAGAAAATGTCCAAGCCAAGCAGCTGTGTGGGATTAGCAGTTCCTATGCCCTAGAGAGCCCAAGTCACCTTGACAGTTCAAGAGAAGTGTGCATCCCTGGATCTCCTCACTGAATCCAAGTGTCTCAAAGTGGGGCCCATAGGACATGTAACAAACACAACTCTCAGCTCAACAAGCAGATAATAAGACACCATTTGTTCTGGAGCCAAATATGAGTGGCCACGGCCCAGGAACACAGATTCAATCTACCTCAAATTCCATGTTCTAATGTGGTAACTATTTCTGAAGTTCTTTTTATGGTGACAGAAAAAAAAAAGTAAGTCACAAATCAAGATGGTTTCAAGTACATTGGTGGGATCATCAGGCGGGTGAGTTACAGCTGAACAAGGAACGCCTCTGGGGTAGACCTCAGATGTCACCTGGTGGCATGCTTAAACCTTCTGGTTGGTGGAAGCTACTGGTCTGTTGAGTAAACACGTTACAAATGGTTGCACCTGTTGGTCCCAAGGATGTTAGGCCAGACACGGAGGTAGGTGGGGAATAGCTGTTAAGATGGCTCAAAGCAGCCAAAGATAAATTATAAATGGGCTCTGGATCTGCAGCATCCCAATCTCTCTGCTATCACTGCCATTCTAGCTGGTTATCAGCCTTGTAGCAGGGTTAGTTAGCATCAGGGGTAGTTCCTTCCAGGAACTTCTGTTCACAGACATTTTGTGTTTTACCAAGTTCCCAGTGGTCACAGAACACATTCTCATGAGCACTGGCTCCCTTCCAACTGGCAATATGCCAGGGTGAAGAAGAGTGTGGGCATCTCTGTGTGGGGCTCCCAAAGTGGAAGAACTTCAGGACTTCTCCCTCAACCCCCAGGCTTGCTTTGAGGGTGAGAGTTAATCCCCAGAAGGCAGGGGAGCACTTCATAAGGGCACAGGAGGCATTCCACCAAAACCAGAGAGAATTGAAAACCTGGCTAGATGCTGGCTAGCCTGGCTGTCTGATGTGGGATGGAGCGCAAGGAAGGACTCACAACTTATGACAATGCCTCATTTTCTTCCTGATTGTACAAATTGTGGGGACTGTGGTATTAGGATGAAAAGTAGCAGCTGTTATTTTTTTAAAAAAATCTCTTACATGCTTGGCTATGAGTCAACCGATTTGTTTATCACAGCCATTGTCAGGCACCTGCAAGAGCCCTGGGCCCCACGGAGCTGCAATTGTCTGCTGAGCCACCCCCACCTGCACAGCAAAGTGGTTGGACCCTGAGTAGTATGGGAACCCCCAGGGATCTCCATTTTCACAGGTGGGGGCTGTTAGTATTTAGTAGCAGATAGATGACTTTCAGCCAGTAAGGTACATTTCCTGCGAATCAATTTGCAAGAACAACAGTGGTGTGAACGCACAGAGGATATGTGAAGATTAAAGGTGACAACTGATGAAATAAATGCCTAGCTTGTGGCAGGGAGCCAACAGGAAAGCGCAGCCGTCCTGATTGCTCGCATCCTGGTGTTCTCGTTGTCAGGCACGTTGAGAGGGTTCCAGTGAGTTCACTGGGCACCTGCTGTCCTTGTCTCACTCGCAAACAGGTGGCTCCAAACACCCCGCAGAGTGAGAAGCAATCATGTAATCATGCCATAGTTAAGCATCTATCCTTCAATTAGGGAATTTAAAGGACTGTTAGGAGAACATTTTAAGGCATTTTGATGAGTTAAACTTGCCCAAATTGTGAATGATGCTAATGACTTTAAAATTACTTCTTCTCTCAAGATACAGGGATTTTAGGAGAACAGGCCCCCACATCCCATCCCACCCCCATACAGAACTGGCAAAGTGGCTAAGAGAGACAGGGCCTGGGCCATCGTCAGCAACTGGAGTTAGTAAGGACTACTAACATGGGTAAGACGTATATCCGGTGGCTCTCTTCCTTCAGGACAGAGGAAACAGACTGGCATACGAGGCCAATAGACACAGTGTCCTTCACGTTCCAGGTTAGAGGTGCCCGGCCAGACCATAATCCATCATTTCTAGCCTCATCTCAACCCACCTGGGCTCCAATCCTCAGTCCCACAAAATAAAAACCAGCCAACAGGAGGCCCCTGCTGACGTCCACAGTGACCCTGTAGCTCCGGTTCTCTGTGTTCCCTGCAGATTACAAAAGCCTCGAGGAAGAGGCTCACGTTGAGCCTGGCGTACTCTGAGAGCCACCAGCTGCGCGTGTCCCAGCAGGACTTCCGGCTCTTCCGCACGCTCTTTCTGCTCATGGTCTCCTTCTTCATCATGTGGAGCCCCATCATCGTCACCATCCTTCTGCTGTTGATCCAGAACTTCAGGCAGGACCTGGTCATCTGGCCGTCCCTCTTCTTTTGGGTGATGGCCTTCACGTTCGCCAACTCCGCCCTAAACCCCATTCTGTACAACATGTCACTGTTCAAGAACGAGTGGAGGAAGATTTTTTGCTGCTTCTTTTTCCCAGAGAAGGGAGCCATTTTTACAGACACGTCTGTCAGACGAAATGACTTGTCTGTTATTTCCAGCTAACTAGGGGAGCCAGGCAAACTGCTGTGTGCATGGAAAGGGAGTCACCTTCTGGAAATATCACCAGGCACCCTGCTTTAAGAAGCTCCAACTTCCAACAGCACACATGTACAGGGAATGATCACTGTATAAAAATATTTTTCCTTAAAAAAAACTTTCTATGGATTCCTTTTTTTATGAACTTTTTTAGTGTGTGTTTGTAATATGATTGAGTTAATAAATTTTTATTTATAACTGTTCCTACATATAAAGCTGTGCTTTGTGGTTGCTGACACAAACCTTGGAGCTGATTCAGGGCTCAGATTTCTCAGTAAAAGGTCATGGCCACCGTAAGTTCCCACCTTGGGCACATATAAGGTCTTGAGCTCATTTATTCATTCATGTTGAGACTGCTTACGGAATTTCCAAGGAACAATTAGACCTGACCTTTTTTTTTTTTTTTTCATGTATTAAAACTGGGCAGGAGACATGACTCAAAGGTAGTATGCTTGCCTAGCAAGCGTGTGGCCCTGGGTTCAATCCCCGGTATATTAAAAAGAAACAAAAGTGTAAACAACACCACAGACTCAAAGAGGATGGACCCTGACGCTGGAGAGGGTGGTCAGAAGTGGTTGCTTTTGCACTCCATCCATAAGAGGCCTTTGAAACACCTGCTATCGCTGTGCAATTTTTTTGTGTGTGTGCTAGGAATCCACCCAGTGGTGAAGCCCATATCCCTGGCTCCATTCTCAGGGAGCTCACCTTCTCATGGGGGTGGGGGACCACAAATGCTAGACAGAAGTCAATGAGTGACGGAGCACCCTAGAGTGAATAAGCACCATGGGAAAAGTAGGACAGGGTATTGTGGGGGTGATGGTTATTCACATGGGGTAACCGAGAAATAACAGTTGAGTTGAAAGGCAAGAAAGAAGCTCTCATGTGGATCCAGAGGAAGGACCTTTGCAGGAAGAGAGAGGCTGGGGAGTCATGTGGTCCAAGAATTGCAAACTGTTGACTGAGCCTTCTTTGTACTTGATGCTAGGAGAGAGAGAGGTGCTCCCTCGGAGCCCATCAGTGGATGCCAATGAGGTTCCAGGGCTAGGACAGGGAGGGCCTGGCAGGCCAGCATAAGAAGTTCACCCAGGGTTCAGTGGGCAGCACTGGAGGTTTGTAATGGGAGACCTGAACAATGAGCACTTTTATTCTGGCTACTCTGTAAGGCACAGGCTTTAAGGAGCAAGAATAAAAGTGGAGACTGGGTGTGTGGCTGCTTGAAGGAGAAAAAAAGTTGGTGGGACCTTGAAGGTACGTGACATTTGTGAATGATTGTGTGAAATTATCTTGGGCTATGCTTGGGAAGGTGGGACAAACAGTTTACTTATGGAGAGTGAAGATGAGGGAAGACAGCATTCTAGGTGCCTCCTGGACTTTAAGCTTGGGACTGCTTAGACAGTGGGGCAGGCAACAAAAGTGAGGAAGACTGGGAAGCAAATGGAGTTTCATTGAGAGCATATGCTTGAAATCCCAGTGAGACAGCCATAGAAGAGGCCACAGGATGAAGAGACACAGAATGGGGCCTGTTGATGCAATGTTGTTGGGAAATACAGACGGCGTTTAGGGACCCATGGTTTTCTGAAATAGTCTCTGAGAAGATGAAGAAAGGAAAGAAACCAGAGTCAAAGACTGAGCCCCAGGATATGCCAACATGTAGATCTGAGATAAGATTTATGGTGACCATGACATTAAGGACATGTCTTTGTTCCTATTTGGTCAGTAGATTTGATACATTGATGCCTCTTTTGAAGGGATATGTGAGTATGTTAGGCCTGTGGCATTAAACTGAAGCTGAGGGGCCTCTCTGTTAGCTTGTTCTACGGGAATAAAGAGCTGGGCTTTCCTCGTGCATGGTCATTTGTTTCCTCTGTCTTTGCTAGAGAACAGGCACATGGACATTTGGTGTGAGCTCCTCATGGTCCTTGGAAATATCAGCACCCCCATCCTCAATACACTTCCCAGATGTCCTCCAGTCTGGACAGAGCTGTCACAGGTCCTCTGCATGTTCACAGACACTGTATTGACTCTTACTCTATCCTACAAGGCAGGGATTGACGTTTTCCCCAAGTTTACTGAGAGAAACCACATAATCAGCCCCAAATCTCACAGCTCTGAACTGGATTAGACTTAAAACCAAGATCCTTTGCTACCAAGGCTGTCTGTTATTCAGTTTTGCCCCCATCTGAAACACAAAGTGAATCTTGCTAGAAGCAGTGAAGAGCAGGCTTCCTAGAGTTCACTCTGACCCTTGTTTCTCAGCCACCCAGCTCTGGATAGAGGTGAGCCTTCTATCCTGCTCACCTGTGGGCCCTGGGCTGACAGTCTTGGGTTTGATGGCCTGGTCATACTTACTTCCTCTTTGGGTTTCAGTCTCTTGGTAGTGCTGTTGTTAAAGCCTTCCTGGATTAATAAGGAAACCTTTCTCAGGAAGTTAAGAACCAATCTCTAATATGGAGATCAGGGATGTCTAGGTCAGGTCAAAAGTCACAGAGAGTGGGAAGAGAGAATGTCTTGGGGTCTAAAAGTGCAACTGGAACACAAATAAGTCTTCAACTCATAGGAAGACGGTTACTATATGTTTAATAAATTGAGTTTAGAATCCCAAGCCTCAAATGGTCTCACTGGGAACTTCAGTAAGATATACATTTGTGTGAACAGATTCAGTCATTCCCATGCATATTTTATCCTCCCCATGACAGTTTAATGTCCACCTGGAGATGGTAAGGAGAGGTGGGAAACTAAACTTCTAAGATAAATAGAGATGAAGATGGAATGAGAGTTAATCAGAAGTTGTCAAGTGAAACTTCCCGTCCTTGATGTTGCTATAAACTGTTCCTTGAGGGTCTGCTTTGACAGTAGCCTGAAATACAGAAAATAGAACCACTAATGAATGACTGAGGGATGGACAGTGTTTCTGTGTATAAATGAACACCCAGGCGGCCTTAGAGCAAGCGGCCATTCACATGCTTCTGTGTGATTGTACTTCACAAATCCTCTCACAGTTGATATCAAAGTTCCTTGAATTCTCCAGGGAACAGCAGCACTGGGGGCGTAGGAGCTGCTATGTGAATCTGTTTCCACTTAACCCTACCTCTCCACGTCACCAAGTGCCTTGAGGCCCATCCCCCTACCTTGGGACATGAAGGCACGCCAGCTGAGAGCAGCATCGCTGTTGTACATTCATTGTCTTCATGATGTCCCTGTCCTGTGTCACCAGGAGGTACCACAAGGGACTTGAGAGTGACAAAAATCTGAGTTTGTATCCAACTGAGCTATCCACTGGAGATCTTAGGCAATGTACTTAGCTTTTCTTAGCCTTTGTTTTTCTCACTGGTAGAATATGTATAGCTGATGCTCCTCCTTTATAAAGTGTGTCTAAGGGTTAACTTAGGTGACTTAGGAGAAAGGCTCAATGTGGTGCCTGGAGGTGATGTGATCCTTCACTAGCCCCATGTTCAGACTCCCCAGTACCCCAGGGTGGCACTCTTATATCTATGTATATCTGACCTCACATTGTTGGTATACTTGGGCATTGCATTGCCCAAGAAAAAAAATGTTCTTTTTCTACACTTCAGTGTGACCCTTTTTGGATTTTGAAGCCCAGTTCTCCATAGAAGTGAATGCATGTCAGCTCAAAATAGACAGCATACTTCTTCACCACGCTTCTGTTTTAAATTCCGATCAGTTAAGGGCAGTAGCTACTAAACTATCCTACTATTATTCTAGAGGCTTTCCCCAAGAAACTCAAGTGGAGCCAAGTGATGCTTGGTTTTTGTAAAGAATAAAGAATATTGCAGGCAGCCGGGCATTGGTGGCGCACGCCTTTAATCCCAGCACTCGGGAGGCAGAGGCAGCGGGATCTCTGTGAGTTCGAGGCCAGCCTGGTCTCCAGAGTGAGTGCCAGGATAGGCTCCAAAGCTACACAGAGAAACCCTCTCTTGAA